GCATGCCACATAGAAGAAGATCAAGAGCTGCTTTCTCACATAAGGACCAGTATAATGAATATAAGTCACAGGAAGGCAGCAGATTCCATTTGAATGTTAGGAGGGGGAAAAAAAGATCTCAGCGAAGCAATATTAGTCTGAGAGACCCATTTGCCCAGAAAAGAGGTGGGCTTCCCTTAATCAGATTTATTCAAGCACAGACTCACAACCATCACTTGGGGCACTTTGATTTGGATTCTTGCACTGAGCAGGGTCTTAGACTTAATAGCCTAATTCACATCTTCCAAACCTGTGATTTGATTTCATGCATATATATCATATTTAAATCCAATCTATAGCACAATATTTAATTACTACGCCTATGGACATATGAATCAACAGACATGGCATGTGCACTCAAACATCACAGGGATTAATCTATCCCATGGGTAGACACACTTCATTTATCATTTGATTACATTTCTCACAATGCTTGGTGAGGTTAGCTAGGAGTGAAGTGACTTGATCCAGAAGTCATGTCTAATTAAGTTGACCATCTCTAGTTTATACCCTTTCCAAATTTGAGATGTTCTCTTTCATTTAGAATTTTTCAGATAAATATCTGTCCAACTGTGCAGTTGGATTTATGAGGTGGTGAGCTGCATTTTTGGGCTGATTGAAGTAGCATTAGATGCAAGTTTTTTGTGCAATGCCTTGCGGAATTTCTGCAGAGTCTACAGAACCGCATTAGTTAAAATAATCGTGATTTTTCTGTCTCTGTTGAGGGTTGAAATTAAATCACTGCCAAATACAGCTGGAGCTAAACAGACCCCTTACATGCTTTGCATCTTGGGCATGGAGCATCTTGAGGTAGCTGTTAGCAAAAAGAATGGATTGCCCTTGCTAGCTCACCTCCTTTCATGAAGTTGAAAGCATTTAGATGCTTGTTTGTTCAGGTTCCTAGGAATTTTTTTTCAGCTCTTTTTCAACAGAAATCACAGCATTATACCGGTAATCCTTTTCAGACCCATATTTTATCTGGGTCTCTCAAACAAAAATGGCAGGAAGACTTCCAAAACAGAGCATTTATTTTTCTTGAGCTTTTTAAAAATCAATTTGACACCCTAGAGAGTGAAACAAGTAGATAAGTGCTAAATGTTAACCCAGCAAGCTTTCTTACTAAATCTGAACAGACCCTTTGTCTATCATTTAATCTAGTGTTTTTTACTTTGGTAGCAACATTATTTTGTGGTCTTGTACAAGGAAACGTTTTGCAAGTTACTTGTCACTGACTGACTTAGGGCCTTCAGCATATGCAACACAGGCTGGACCTCTTGAGTATGATTCTTCTCTATAACAGACAATTCTGTTCTTTCCTTTGTCTGTTTCAGCTAGATGTCCCCAAGAACTATGGGATTGTCTGAGGTCTTAAATATGCTATCAGCATGGGGACACAGTGGCTCAGTGGCTAAGATGCTGAGCTTGTCGATTGAAAGGTTGGCAGTTCAGTTTGAATCCCTAGTGCCGCGTAACGGGGCGAGCTCCCGTTACTTGTCCCAGCTTCTGCCAACCTAGCAGTTCAAAAGCACATAAAAAATGCAAGTAGAAAAATAGGGACTATCTTTGGTGAGAAGGTAACAGCGCTCCATGCACCTTTGGCCTTTAGTCCTGCCGGCCACATGATCACGAAGACGTCTTCGGACAGTGGTGGCTCTTTGGCTTTGAAACAGAGATGAGCACTGCCTCCTAGAGTCGTGAACGATTAGCACATATGTGCAAGGGGAAACTTTACCTTTACCTTTATATACCACTAAAATATGATATACTTTTGATCTGAAATTCATGTTGTATACATGTGTGTAGGAGAAGAAAATATTGGACAGAACTTTCAGTTCTGAGTCTGGAAGAGAGATTGTGGGCTCCCTTGTGCACTTATAATGGCATCTCCAATTTATCCTCCCCAAAGAAACTGATTTATTTTCCATGACATTCCATGTTATTTTCTATGTTGCTTTCATACCACTGAAAAACAGATTGTGAATTATGTGGCCATAATTTGCAGCTAATCAAAATAGTTTCTTGTCTGTGGAGAGTTTTGATTTTGTCTGCAACTCTAATGGGCGAACACAGCAGCTGCTTCCAGCAATGGACATGCTCCATAATCAGACTGGGAATTGGGTGTAAACTTGCATCTTGACTGGATACCAAATACAGAAAAAAGTTCTTTCAAGATACACTTGGGTTAATTTAATACTCTTAATATGTTCCATAGAGCGCCAGCATAATTCAGAAGCAATGCATTAAACTAAGTATTTTTGGTATATGATCAAATTTTGTGCTTTTTTCCTTAATACTTGCTGCTTTTTGGATTCACACTCCTCCTCCTCCTCCTGTTTTCTAGTTTTCTAGTTTTAAATCAGGTATTTAAATCAGGTATTTCCCATATCTGAATGTTTAACAGAATGAATGCTTAAATCATTTATACTATTTATAATAGTATAAACTATTTTATGATATTTTACGAGAAGAGTCCTCCATTCCTCTAACTGCAATAAAATACCTTATGCCACCAGACTCCAAATTTTGGGTTAGACAACTTAGAACTATGCCGATTATGGTCTGACCTAAGCACAGTACATAAAATTATCTGCCACAATGTCCTTCCTGTCAATGACTATTTCAGCTTCAACCACAAAAATACACAAGCAAATAATAGATACAAACTCAAGGTAAACCATTCCAAACTCGATTGCAGAAAATATGACTTCAGTAACAGAGTGGTCAATGCCTGGAATGCACTACCTGACTCTGTGGTTTCTTGCCATAACCCCCAAAACTTGAACCTTAAACTGTCTACTGTTGACCTCACCCCATTCCTAAGAGGTCTGCAAGGGGTGTGCATAAGTGCACCAGCGTGCCTACCTTCCCTGTCCAAATATTCCTTTTTACTTACTCTTTTCATGTTTTCAAATTATGTTTATACTTTTACCTGTTATCTTATATATGCTTGACAAATAAACTTATAGATATCCCTATAGTTAAATATTGATAACAAAAAGAAAAACTACTTGGATCTGTTTAACAGTAAAGAAAAGTAGAATTAGAGCATAAGGTTAGGAGAAAAAATGGCTTAAATCATAATGTTTTGCTGGGGGGGGGGGGAGCACCAGAATGATACCAAAGTAGGTACTAGATACGTGGATAAAAAATAAAAAGAATCCATGCTGGATAGGTTCAGGATTTTGTTTCCAAAAATCTGTAGCTCCAGATTTTAATTGTAGATACTCAGAGGCATGGTTGATTGCAACATTATATAATCATCATGGTTAATCATTGATAATCATGCTGCCCATGATTTTGCCCAAACTATTTTTAAGTTATTTGAATCACTACCTTTTGAAGCTGATACGTGTGAAGTATATGCAGTGCTTTTTTGCAGCTCTCAGTTTATGTTATAATACATCCTCAAATCTGACTTCATATGATGTTTTCATATACATGTGTAAACTGACACAGAATGTGCCTGAGAATATGTGTGCTTTAGCATACATTTTGCCAAACTTCTTGCATTTTTCCCATTCTTGTATTCAGATTTTAGAGAAGCAGGGAGTGGTATGGAGAAAAGAGGAGTTTGCTGAATAGCAACTTTGTGGTTTTCATGATGAGGAGGCAAATCATGAAAAACCAAGAATATAAACTAGCTTTTTCTAACCAAGGAACCTGCATATGCATACCTTCTGTTGCTTCTCATCTTTTGCCTAAGATCAAGTATAGGTAGTCTTTGACTTAAAACCATTTGTTTAGCAACCTTTCAAAGTTACAATGGCACAGAAAAAAATGACAACTTTACCGTCACATTTATGTCTGTCCCAGCATCCCCACGGTCATGTGATAAAAATTTGGATGCTTGGTAACCAGCATGTATTTATGATGGTTGCATCATCCCAAAGCCATGTGATCACCATTTGTGAGCTTCTCATCATCTTCTGACAAGCAAAGTCAATGGGAGAAGCTGGATTTGCTTAATGATGGGGTGGTTCACTTAACAGCCATGGCAAAAAAGGTTGTAAAATTGGGTGCAACTCACTTAACAACCACTTTGCTTAACAACAGAAATTCAGGTCTCAATTGTGGTCCTAACTAGAGGCCAACCTGTATAGCATGTGCAAGTGTAGTGTGGGTGTATAACTCCTCCTATCCTCATCCTCTATATACATAGCCTGCTAGCAAGGGATGATGGGAGCTATAGTCTCACAGCAGGAAAAGACTCATTTTGGGGACCGGATGACTTAATAGGACTTTTGAATTCCAGAAAAGAGGCAACTCTCAACTCTGAAAGTATACATGGTTTGTTCCTTTACAAAAAATTGCAGGGAATTTTTTTTTTTATGTGACTAATTAAAGAACCAATAATGATGAATAAGGGTTTACAGGAGACTTCCCAGTAGCACAAGTTTACTTTGACTGTGAAGTCTTTTAGTTGTTTGCTGGTGGTTAGTACCAGCTCAGTATATATCCCGCTATTTCTCTCTGTGTTCATAATCTAAAAAGAAAATTAAGAATAATGGAAAAATCTAGTTTCTCAAAAAGTCGTTTTGTGAGGGCTTTGGAGAGGGCATATCCAGGAGACTTAGGTTGGCTATTTTCTTTATATAAAAACTTGCATGCTCTTTGTCTCAAGAACCCTGTGTAAATAGCAATAAAGTCATGCTCCAGTTATAGCAGTAAGTATAACTCAATAGCATTTGTTTTCAAGAAACACATGTGAAATAATGAAGGTTACCTGTAAGCATGGAGGTCAGAAGAGTAATAAAAACAATATGATATAAAAAACTGCTTCTTAAAGAACAAAGGCTTGAAGAGACAATCAGTGTTAAGGTCAGAGGAATATCAAGTCTTGATGAGTTTATAAAACTAAATGAGCTCATACGCTCTGCTGCATAGTTACCAATCAAAACTTTAATATTACCATCTGTTCTCAATCTCTCTCTCTCTCTCTCTCTCTTTTTCTTCCCATTTAGGATTTAGTGTCTAGAAAGAAAGATAGTAAGGATTGCACCATGGCTCCGAGAAAAAGGAGTGGGCGAGGGATTTCTTTTATCTTCTGCTGCTTCCGAAGTAATGATCACCCAGAAATCACGTATCGGCTGCGGAATGACAGCAATTTCGCCCTGCAAACCATGGAGCCCGCATTACCCATGCCTCCGGTGGAGGAGCTGGATGTTATGTTTAGTGAGCTTGTGGTGAGTGATGGGATCATATTAAGTTGGTGGTGTTCAGAACTCAAAAATTGTCTCTAGCTGGGAGGAGTTGTCTTAAAATGTTAGGGAAAAGGTAGTGATGGTCCATCAAGAGTGCCTCAACTCATTCAAAGAAATGAAAATTTATCACATGTTTGCAAGATCTCAGTTATTTTTTTTAATATTGGGCAAATGATTGTGATAAACATAGCAAACTTTGTAACCTAGTGTGTGGTAATTTAGGAAATATTCTGTCCTGGGTTAGGAAGGATGCATCAGATTGCGATAAACATAGCAAACTTTGTAACCTAGTGTGTGGTAATTTAGGAAATATTCTGCCCCAGATTAGGAAGAGATGCATATTTGGTTGATAAGTAACGATACTCTGTATTTTCCAAAAAATAAAACAGAAGTCGTGCATTTTTCTATTGCAAAGTACAGTTGTTGCATGTTCCTGACTAGGTTCGCACATTGAGTTAGATTACAATCCTTTAAAATGTGATTTGTTCACTAGGACATAATTGGCTGAGTCAATATATAAAAATAGGACATAAGCCACTATATAAATCACAGTGAGAAGATTTATACAACTAACCAAATCAGAAGCAAACAAATCACATTTTTGGTAGAGAATTCCATGGAAGATAATCATCAGACATGATTTCACAGGGGTGGCTTTTGGCTAATGTTTGAAACTGCTGCAGCAGTTAGACTGGATTCATAGAGCAAGCTGAGGCATGGTAAGGTTAGCTTTTGCTAAGCATATTGTATGAATTCGGCCATTGTGACTTCTGAATCATGGTTTAGGGCAGTGATGGTGAACCCATAACACATGTCAAAGGTGGTATGTCACAACATTTTGGGTAACATGCTAGTGCATACCAGGCAAGAACTATTCTTGAAAGCTTGCCTTGTTCTTGCATGATTTGGGGGGACGGCAAAGACCACACGAGAATGGGGTGTGCTTTCACCTGGTTTTCAAAAGCTGCAGAAGCAGAAGAAGAGGGTTTTCTGAAGCCGCCTCAAGAACAAAGGCCTCCTGCAATCTGGAGCTGCCTCAGGTAGGCTGCAGCGGGAAAGAGAATACTGCCTCTTTCTAAGCAGTATATGGCAGAACTTGAGAATCACAAAGGATTGGACTGCGTTTTTTAAAAAAATAAATTAATATGTAAAGAACTGTTTCTCTTTTGTTTGGGGGAGGGGGCTGACACACCAGTAGAACCAAGGTAGGCATTTTACAAATTTTTGACACACTGAATCCAAAAGGTTCACCATCATTGGTTTAGAACTTTGTGTCATAGGAAACTAGCCAATTGTGTTCTGTTCAAGAAACCACAATTATATATTCAATGGAAACAATGGTTTAATATGACAGATGAAACCGATCATAGTAAGTGTCAAGAATGGATTAGCAACCTATTCAGATAGCAGGTATAAGCCTAATAACCACAATGCAGCAGTCTCTGTACCAGAGATATTACATTCAGTACATTTAAAACCATTCTATTAAAGAAAAATCTAGAAGTTTTGCAAATGCTGTTATGCCAATCTCCATACCAAAATGTGAGATTGTGCCAGTCCATCTCCAAATTAACTACCTGTTGTCAACCTCTTTGGAATGGCCTTTCCTTCCTTCTTCCTTCCACCCCAATGATGCCCTTGACGTGATGTCCCGGTGCCTGGAGGCCGTGGGATCTGGATGGGGAGAAACAGGCTCAAACTCAACCCCTCCAAGACTGAGTGGCTGTGGCGTCCCGGTATAGTCAGCTGGCGCCATTGCTGACTATTGGGGGTGAGATCTTGGCCCCCACAGAGAGGGCTCGCAACTTGGGTGTTCTCCTGGATGCACGGCTGTCTTTGGAAGAGCACATGACAGCCGTGGCCAGGGGAGCTTTCTATCAGGTTCGCCTGATGCACCAGTTGCGTCCCTTTCTGGACCGGGATGCCCTGCGCAGTCACTCATGCCCTCGTCACATCCCATCTGGACTACTGCAACACTCTCTACATGGGGCTCCCCTTGAAGAGCACTCGGAGGCTCCAGCTGGTCCAGAATGTGGCTGCGCGGGTGGTTATGGGTGCGACTCAGTGCGCCCATATAACACCCCTCCTGCGCGAGCTGCACTGGTTCCCGTTGGTCTTCCGAGTGCGATTCAAGGTGTTGGTCACCACGTTTAAAGCGCTCCATGGCTTAGGACCGGGATACATACGAGACCGCCTTCTGCCATCAACAACCTCCCACCGGCCAATATGCTCCCATAGAGAGGGGCTCCTCGGTGCCGTCGGCCAAACAATGCCGACTGGCGACACCCAGGGGGAGAGCCTTCTCTGTGGGGGCACCAGCCCTTTGGAATGAGCTGCCCCTAGAGCTTCGTCTTAGCCCCGACCTGCGTACTTTTCGCCGTGCCCTAAAGACCTTCCTGTTTCAGCAAGCCGGATTGGCCTAATATGAATTTTAAGTGGGTGTATGTGTGTTTTAATTTGAGGGCCAAATTGTATATATTTGTTTTAATTGGTTTTAAATTTTATAAATTAATGTGTTTTAATGTGGCTGTACACCGCCCTGAGTCCCCTGGGAGAAGGGCGGTATAGAAATCCAATAAACTCTAAACACTCTAAACTCTTTTTCTTGTTTTGATTCAGTGAAGGCTAACTTCATTTTTTTAAAGTAAGTTGTTGGCATTATCATGTAATGCCTATCTTTTCTCTTTAACTGATGTATGGCTCAGTTGAATGTTGCATTTCAACATTAATTAAATGGTTTGGAAACTCCTTCAGCCTCCTTATAAGCTTACTGGATAACAGAAAATGACCCACTATTAAAAAGGAGCAAAATATATCTTGGTAGCATTGCTATACCCACTGACATTCTGCAATTCCTTGGCCTCTCTGGTAGGCAAGCAGGTATATTTTGCTTATATAGGAATATATTTAATTGCCTAGGCTCAGACAGAAGAGATGACTTGAACATTGTTCTGTCCCCGTCTCACACATGCACACAAACAGACAGCCGGGGGTTAAATAAACTGGCAGACAACCAATTCTTCCGATAAGAGGCTTGGCAGCAACCCAGTAGCTGCTTGCCAAGAACTTTACTCATAAACAAGATACACACAGTTCAAGAATTGTCCAGTCCGTAATTAAATCCAAGGCAGATAATGCTGTTTCCAAAGATGCAATGTGATTCGATAGTAGTTAGTTTTGTCTGTCACAGAGTCTGAATGGCCACCTCACCTCCTTTTATACCCTGTGGGGTGTGGTCCAGTGACTCAGCTTAATCTCTGGCACGCCTCTTCTTCTGTTGCGCGCGCTTATCTCTGCGACGCTGCCGAGGATCCAGCCAAGACTCATCTCCCTCATTACTGTCCACATGTGGCTGCGTGGACGTGCTTGGCCCCGGGCCTATCTCTTGCCCTTCGGCGGACACCGAAGGCATTGCCAGAGAGGAGGGTCCTGAAGAGGGAGGCCTGGCCAACTCCTCTCCTTCACTCTCGGAGTCCTCTCCTGCTGTGACACAGGCTCAGGTAACGGAGCCACAACAAACATGTTCAAAAACACTGAAAACCTCTTTGACAGACAACTCTTAGTCAAACAAATTAACTTTGGTAACATTGGAAATCTGATTTTTTTTTTTTTAATTTGATTTATATGCCTCCCTTCTCCGGAGACTCAGGGCGGCTTACAATGCGTTAAGCAATAGCCTTCATACTTTTGTATATTTATACAAAGTCAGTTTATTGCCCCCACAGACTGGGTCCCAATTTACCTACCTTAGAAAGGATGGAAGGCTGAGTCAATCTTGAGCCTGGTGAGATTCGAACTTACAGTAATTGCAGAAAGCTGGTGTTAATCACAATGCTATCAGTCTGCTGAGCCACCATTAGAATAAGATAACTTTTGATATAGGGATTTAATATTTCCACTTCTGCTTAACTTTGTGTTAAGCATGTTGAGATTTTGAGAATAGGAAAAAAGGAAAGAAAAGACAGCTTTAGAGAAAAATTTCCTCTGTATTTGGACTCAGTTGAAAGAACTACTCACTAGTAATAAAAAAAAATGTTAGCCACTTCAGGAAAGAAGCTTAAGTATACAATGAAAGCATGTTTGACAAATTTGAATTATGAATTCCCCTTCCCCAATAACATTCAATGTATCTAGAATATAAATGTATCTTCACCCTCATTTAGCAACTGCCTGGTTTAACAATGGTTCATAGTTACGATGGTGATGAAAAAGTAACTTTAAGATCAATTCTCCATTTATGATCTTCATAGACTGTAAAGCAAAGAAAACCTGAAGTAAAATTATAAACAGTCATTGAGATCACTTGGCAATTGCTTTGTTTAATGACCAAATTGCCAATCTCAGTTTTAGTCACTAAAAAAAGACTGCCTGTATTTTCAAACCAAAACTTGATAGCTTTGTCATTTACTAAGGGAACACAATAAAGGAACACAGATAGAAGGACTATTACTTTACAAATATTGTTAAGATTACGCTGAATTTAATTTTAATTTAATTTTAATTAAATCAAAATACTTAAGATAGGAGCTGACAACCTAACACAAGGAGCAGGAATTTTATAACCACTCAGAAAAAAAAAGAACATTAAGAAAACAGGAATGAAAATAGAGAATGAAAATAAGAATAAAGTTTCACCTCATTATCACGATTATCAGCATTTCAGCTCCTGCCAAATTCTCTTGTGTATTATGTAACACAGAGATCCTATATTAGCACATTTTAGGAAACCCTGAATTTTAAACAGATAGACAAAAACCTTAACTGGGAGACTTGTAATTCTTCCAAAACAGCCAAATGAAAACTGAATATGTTAATATAAAATAATTACTATACAGTATGTGTGAGGCAAAGAGGAAGAGAAATCTAGGGTGGAAGATTGAATGGAATGCCTGAACATCTGAGGAGGATCATTGCGCATTACAATATTTTCTTTTTTATCCTATCTCTGTTTATATAAATTTATATTTTGCTGTTTTCCCTGA